AACATCACATTGTCATAAATTGAGAAAATTTACGGTTAATACATCAATTCACAATTTAAATGATGAACATTACAATGAACACATAGTTATAGTTAACCCTTACATAAATACATACAACTAATATAATTATGGGTTAATATTTTTGTATGGCCTGAACTTTGACCAAAATAAACATCCTGGCCAATCTTTTTGATCTATAACATCCTGGCCCGAACTATACATCAAAATAAACAATTTGGCCAGATCCGAGTTTTGACCGTTAACTTGGATGGTCAAACGCGTTGACTAACGATTAACGCGCCATGTCATCACCCACTCAGCTTAAATAAACTAAAAAAATTCACATATTTCTCAAATTTTGAATTTTAACTATTAAAACCTAGAAAAATTATTAAAAAATAAAAAAAAGCAAAAAAAAAATAAAAATTGTCGGATTCCCTTCATTAACCCTATCATCCACTTATCCCTAACCCCAACCACAAGAAAAAACCCAGGAGCCCCTCCCTTTCGCTTTCCTTCCGACAACAATCTTCCTCCTCCGTCCGACGAAAATGCATCAGCGGGCATTCTTCTAAACTCGCCGCCGCCATCGTAATCCTCCCGTCTCCCTACACCATCCAGTTCGCCTCTACTCTCGAGTAAAATCTCAGGCTTCGTGAGGTCTTCGCTGCCACCGCTGCACTTCCGCAATTTGACTGGTGGCGGCGGCGCACCGACTCGAATCATGTTGAGATTCTTCCTGATGATATTGTACTTAGGTTTCGGGGTTGGAAGGAAGAATCAGGCGGCGGCGGGGGACAAGACTAGTCGAGCGATTCGAAATTAAGGGAGGTTCTTCTGATTTTGGAAAAGGAAACCGATTTGGAGAAATAGTCGGTGGGGAGAGTTTCGATGGAATGGGAAGAGGAGGAGGAGGAGGATGAGATAGGTCGGTTTTGATAGCAGATCTGAAATGGCAAGTTTGAGAGAGGAGCTGAATAGATCGTCGGAGCATCGCCATCGTTTTACCGTTCGAGAGGCGGCTGTTCTGGGGGTTTATAGCGAGAAGCGGCGGAGGAGGAGGAGGTTGGGATTTTGTTTCTGGTTTTGCCAAACAAGATCGTGGAGCTGAAGCCGTTCCGTCGATTTCGGGGGTGGAAGCTGAAAAGATGGCGAAGCGGGTTCCGCAGAATCCGGCGGCGGCTGGTTAACAGCTCGGGACATGGCGGTGGGGGAAGGCATTAGATTTTGACTTAGGATTTCATTCTTATTTTAATTTTATTGGGTTAAAGAATGGGTGGTTGGGGGAAGGGAGGGAATCCAATTTGTTTTTTTCCCCCCGATTTTTTTAATAATTTTTCTAGGTTTTAATAGTTAAAATTCAAAATTTGAGAAATATGTGAATTTTTTAAGTTAATTTAAGTTGATTGGGTGATGACATGGTGCGTTGACTGTTAGTCAACGCGTTTGACCATCCAAGTTAACGGTCAAAAGTCGGATATGGCCAAATTGTTTATTTTGATGGATAGTTCGGGCCAGGATGTTATAGATCAAAAAGATTGGCCAGGATGTTTATTTTGGTCAAAGTTTAGGCCATACAAAAATATTAACCCTATAATTATCTTAGGTCAATAGAAGTATTCATCTAACAAAAATATATGTTAACAGTATGGAGTTAATTGATTGTTTTGATTGTGTGAATTGAATTAGTCTCTTAGCAATTATCATAGGTAAAAAATGACCGTCGTTTCAAATCTTCATCTAATAGATTTATGATTTTATTTAAATTGGGTCTTTTATATCATGGTCTACACTCTACAAATACAAATATATAGTATGTGAACAATATTGAGCTTTATTATTATTTTGTTGAAATTGAGCTTTATTGTTGATGAGTCTAAAAGGAAGGAATGTTTGGTGTTGAGAGTAGGGGTGGAAATCGGTACAGTATCGGTATCCCAATACCAAATACCGAAATCCCGAATACCGAATTACACCCTGAAATCAATCTCAATCCCAATCCCTAAATAATTTCGGTATCTCAATCCCAATCCTAAATATTTCGGTATCCCAATTGGTACCTCGGTATCCCAATCGGTATTATCAAATACAAAATTAATTACCTTTGCCATTAATAATTAAATATATAAATCAGATTTTATTGTTTAATTAAGGGCAAAGAGACTAAGCAAAGAGTCTTGAGTTGCCTAGAGCTAACATCTCAAGTTTTTGTAATTGATAATCTTTAATTTGATGAATTTGAGGTTGAGAGACTACTAATACTAGTGTGAAATAGTGATGTAATGATCTATGTATAATTAAATGACACTCTTGGTGGTTGAGGGTCGCGTAGTAGTGAATGAGAGAGTCTAGTTGAGAGAATAAAATACACACTAGCTTATATTTCAGTATTGATCGGTATTTCGGTATATACCGATCCCAATCCCGCACTTCCTAATTCCGAATAACAACTGAAACTCAATCCCAATCCCAATCCCACAAAATAATACGTGTATTCGGTAATACCAAATATAGACAAATTCGGCACGGTATTCGGTATATCCCAAATACCGGTACCAAACTTCCAGCCCTAGTTAAGGGGTTATACCAAGTATTAAGTATGTGTATATAGTATATATTAGATATATGAATAATTACTTAACTGGTTAGTTTGGTTTGATTAGTTAGGAGTGTCTAAAACCAAACCAAACCACCTAAACTAAACAAATCAAAAAATTTAACCAAACCAATTATCCAAATTAACCAAACCAAATTAGCCAAATACTACCGGTTAAAACGATTATCATGGTAACCATACCGTTTAAAGTTTAAACACCCCTAAGTACAACCCATCACCCATGGTGGTTGTTTCTTCTTCTAGTCCGTCAATGCTTAACAGTAATGTGTATATTCACGATCGATTTCTGATGAGTTATAGTAGGAGACTGTATAAAAGGATAATGAAGCTGGGGAAAATAGATCCTGCTAAAGACGAACTCGGGTAGTCGGTCGGATTGACATTAACCGAAAGCAAAACCCCAGCAGAAATAGAAAGTAGTGCATAACGGAGGAAAATTATGAGGCAGACCGATCACCAACATTAGCAACCAGGTTACTGGTGTGTTGTATAATTGTGTGGTGTTCTGTATTGCAACTTGGAAAAGCAGTGGACGGTCACATGGAAACTCGGAGGGTATTGAGAAACTTGGTGTCGGTAGGTTATTAAACCGGTTGGTTGAACTGGTTGCGAAGCCATTTGGGATGTGGTCGGATCCGATAGTGGGCGGGGTACTTGTGGTGATATGTGTGGGACGTAACGGAGCGGGTATCTCAATGTTCATATATATCTTATGTTATGTGAGGATTAGGTCGGATAACATTTGTGCAGGTAAAGAGAGGGAAGGATAGGTCAATCCGTTCTTATATATTATTTAAAAAAGAAAGTTGATATTTAATACTTTCTAATTTGGTGTCGTTCGGTTTTTGCGACTTATAGTTGGCAACATGCGAATCAAGAGCGGTTACCCGTGTCCAAATCCCGCCCGTCAGTTCTCCCGGGTTGGATAAACCTTGCCAAACAGTAGCAATCGGGGAGGCAAACCTTGCTGTCACCCGCCTGACCTCGGGTAACGGGTTTACCCACAACCGACCTGTTCATAACATATTAATAATAATAAAAATCCCTCTAAGCATTAGCGGATACGTGGTGGGACACCCCTAAAATTTGGAAAAACGATTATCCAACCTCCGATAGTAGTTTGCGTATGGGTAAAAAAATATTTAAGTGGAAGAGGACATACTTAAATTTTGGGAAAATGATTATCCAATCTCCTGTAGTAGTTTGCATATGGGTAGAAACAATATTTAAGTGGCAGTCTATGTGATTTGAACTTGTGACACTTCTACTATTAGTAAATATATTTTCAATTAGACTATAACTCATTTGTTGTTATGTTTTAGATCCAAATATAATTGTAAGAGATTATTTCTATCCCCAATTATTTTCAAAACCTAACGATTAAATCCGATCACGAACTACCCTTTTACTAGTAGGATATATCGAGAGAGATTTGTTAAGCATTGTAGACACCAAATATATTTTACCATTTTTCATAACACGAAACACGTCGTGTACTTTTGTTGTAACTTTTGCTAGCTAGATATTTTCTTATTTAAAAATTATTTAATTTTTATTTAAAGTTAATTTTTGGGAGGGACACCCCTATGCAAAATTTCTGAATCCGCCACTGCCTCCAAGAATGAAAATGCAGCAACTCTATCTGAAATCAAAGCAACTTCAGTGAATGAAAATGAAAAAGGAATAGAAACAATCAATCAAACTAACATCCAATACAAATCCAAAGCAACTCTATTTGAAATTTGTTCAACTGCAGCAATTCAAAAGTAGGTGTGGGCAACGGGACGGGACTGGGTATCCGTCCCGCTTGAAACAGATATCCAATCTCATGTGGAGAGGAAACTCCATCGCATGTCCCAAACCCATAGATTAACGGGTACTCATTTACTCGTACGGGATGGATAACGAGTACCTGCGGGCTGCGGGTAACCATCACTACAAGAAAAAGTAGGATTTGCAACCAAAAGTTTTACAACCAAATCCAAAATGGTTGCGAAAAGTGTAGCATTCATAACCAATTATATTTTGGTTGCTAAAATATTAACAATTTGGTTGACTATTAAAATCAACATATTGATAACCAAATAAAAATTAGGAAAACCAAATAATTAGGTTGTAAAATGATTTTTACTATTTTCAACCAAATAATTTGGTAGCAAAATGATTTTTTACTTTTCCTAACTAATTAATTTGGTTGCATAATGTTTTTTAATTTCTCCAACCAAATATTATTGGTTACCAATTTTAAAAAAACTTTACGTAACTAAATTATTTGGTTGCAAAGATAAAGTTTCAAACAACTAAATTATTTGGTTGTAATAACTAAATAATTCATTACTCAATAAATGTTCAATTACTTCTTCCTTACTCCCTTGCGGATTATAATGGAATCAAAAAATGTATCCACTCCACCTTTACTCTTTTTTTCTCCTTCCTCCCAATTCCCAAAGACCTTCTACTGAGAAAAGATCATAGTCATATCCAAATTCCATCACCAACTTCTTCTTCATCTTCTTCTTCTTCTTCATTCCCTGATTGCTGCTCTAAATCGTCGAGATCTGATAAAATCAAGCTCCATTCTCCATTTGCTTCGTTCAACCTCACTCAGCTACCAATCGAGATCCAGTTGCTCGAGTCCCCAAAGGAAGCGATTCTGAACCAGAAAAGAGTTCGGCCACTTCGTTCGATCTTTCCTCGCCGTCGATTCTCTGTATGTAACTTCATATAGGTCCGATTTCTGATTCTCTCCAAGCTGGGGTAAGTCAAATCCGTTCTGTTTCCTGTTCTCAATTTTCTGGAATGAGTCAAATTCCTATCCGATTCCGATCTCATATTTGAATCTCCGTTGTAGATTTGAATTGGTCGCGGGTTGGCATAACTTGATTTCGGATTTGAACTGGATTTCATTGCGGATTCGATTTGACAAGGTAGGGCAGATTTTGATCGCGAATACTTTCACCGACGCGATGCCTCCTCGTGGAATGAATTTCTCCTTCGTCTGTCCCATCTCTCTTTCCTTACTGAGTTAGTGTTCTTGAATTTCTAGTCGCCGGGGAACTGATCCGGCCTCCAGCTCTGGCCATGTCAGCCAATCTGTCTTTGACTTGCGCAAGCTCATGGTGACCCCCGCTCAAGTAAGCTCGCGTCGGCGTTCCTAGTTCTTGAGATCTTACAGTACCTAGTGGTTCTAGTTTGGTTCGGTTCCTGATTGTGATTGTTGGCGGAATTAGGTGGAGACGTCAGTTTCTTACAACAAACACAGGCCAAGAAAGCATCTGCCGGACTTGCCTTGTTGTTTCACGAGAGAATAGTGTACATCGGGATGCCTGTAAGTTGATTGAAGTATAGACTGTTTCCTGGAACTCAACTTCAGCTTGTTCAATTAATTGCTGGAACTCAACTTCACCTAGTGTGGAATAGTCAATGTATGTGGTTAAGTCATTCTAGTTGCTGCGAATTTGCAGGCAACTAAATGACAATGAGTTCACTGGTTGAATTCGTCCTGAATTTGGCAAGTTGGAGCTGATTGCAGTGAGTCTATTCTTGTTCTTATGGTGAGTCTATTCACTTAGGGTCGTATAACTTGAAGCTTTTATAATATTAATTTTATTCGACATATGCAGGGGTTACGGCTTACGGGTTATGAGGGAGGCCTTTGGCGGGTTCGGATCCGTGGAGGTCCAGATTTGTGTCTTGATTACTAATCTTGGGTGCTTGATCATTTACTTGATCATCATCAGTAAGCTTGAGATCAAAGCCTTTCTCTAATTATTAGAATTAGCTGAGCATGTTGTGATTCTTGTGGTCTTTCCCTAGTCATATTTTGAATTTATCTTCCGACTGGTTATGAACTAATCAGAAGAATGCATTTTACGAGTTGATTGAAGGCTTGGAGAAATTTAACTTTCTGGTTGTTTCTTCAGGGGATGTGTTGTCAGGGACGGAGCAGCATTTGGGAGTACTGTAATAATGGTTTGGGGTTTCATAGCTGAATACTCGAGCTTTTGCACTCTTTCTGGTTGTGGTTTTTGTTATGCTTCCTTTGGTTCTGTTCAATCAGGTTGGTGGGTTGTTCATCTTTGAATCCTTCTTTCATGTTCCTTCCAAAGGTCTTGGAAGCTCGATCCTGAATATTCGGAGGTGCTTTGTGTTTCTTGTATTCTGCAGAGTCATTGAAGTTCAGTTCAGCGGTATCAGTTCTCTTGGCAGTGATTTTCAGTGGCATAAGCTCGCTGATGGCTTTCTGATCAATTTCTGGGAATAAGTGATTTGGGTTTGCTAGTTGAATCTTTCTGTTTCTCATGAAAGATGATTGATTGGGTGTACAGGGGGAGAGTTCTTGATGTGTTGAAGAACTGGTGTGAGAGGAGCATTTCGGTCACTGTTGTGACTGATGGTGAAAGGATTTTTGGGACTCAGTGATCTTGGATGCCAGGTAAATAATCTCTGTTTGGAAGAATTAGTTTATGGGAGCACATAAAAGTGATGGCCATTTTATTTAATGGAGCTTCGGTTTCCTTCTTCGTATACTTTGCATGCAGGTGAAATATGAGGAACGGTGGACTTTGTAACAGGGGTTGGGTGTTCCGATGATGGATTACCCTTTCTTTCTCGCTCAATTCACCACTTTCGGGTCAGTCTAGTGCCCTCTTTTTAACTCGCTCAATTAATCTTGGAAAAGGATTTTTTTATAACTCTTTGACCACAGGTATGTGGTGATTTACTCGTTGATATTGCATATCCGTTACCGTAAAGGGATAGTGACTGATGAAATGCTGGCCCTCCTAAAGTCTGGCCATGTCGCCATTGGTGCTTTTGAAGCCGTGGGAACCCTGATTGGAATGTACCCTGCAGCAAATCTACCTAGACGGTTGGACCTTCTCTATCTTTACTGCATCAGGTAACTCGTTTCTGTTTCAAGGTACTCATACGGCCTAATGGCTGGCTGCTTGCTTGTAGCTATTGGTGTTGTAATGGTTGTGTCAGGGTATCAATTACATTTACACGTTTTGCCTTCTTATTTTTGTACTTCATAATCATACTTCTCTTTGCTTTCTTTGACTCTACCTTGAGGCCAACTATAAAGAGAAGCATGGCTAACAGTATCATGTTCTACCATATATGATCGCAGTGGATCGAACGAAGAAGAGTCCATGCTATCTGCCAGCGAGTACATGTGGGCGGGTGTGATGATATTATCCAGTGCTCTTCACTTCCGGTGCCATGATACTAAAGGTTGAATCTTTTGAAGAGGGTCTTTAAGTTGAAGTGAGCTATATCAGCAGACTGAGCAACTTTGCTTTTGTTAATAGGAATTCGTGTTTCTTGATGCTCCTCAAAAGCTGAAGGTATACCAACCAAAATGGAGAAGTACCAGGTGAAGGACGTCATAGTTATTTGTGTAGTTGTGATTTTTGAAATAGTGGGCTTCCCTACTGATAGCATTTTGTAATTGCGATTTTAGTTACTAAACAATTTTTTTATATATGAGATATAATGTGAAATTATTTTATTATAATCTAATTTAATTTTTCATTTTTCATTTTTCATTTTAATGATCAAATTCTCATGGACAGAATTGGTCATATTAGTAATATGAAATAATTTTATTTGGTCGGCTTATGTGTTTTTCGCAACCAATTTCTATGGTTGTGTAAAACTTCCATAACTAAAACAATAGGACGCCTAATTGATGTAATTGGTCGTGTTATGTGTTTTTCACAACCAAATTTCATGGTTATGTAAAACTTCTATAACAAAAATAAATAGTTGTCCAAAATAATATAATTGGTTGGCATATGTATTATTCACAACCAAATTTTATGGTTGTGTTAAAATTTGATAACCAAAATAATTGGTTGTCATAATGATACTATTGGTCGACATATATTAATTTCTCAATCAAATTGGATGGTCACCTTTTAACACTTTAATTATAATATTTTGCATCCAAATATAATTGGTTACCAAAAGTCACACGAATTGGTTGTCATTAGTATTTGTGGCGACCAATAGCTTAGAATTCTCAACCAATATTGTGAACTATGACAACCAAATAAATATGGTCGCGCAAAATCAAGACTTTTATCGTTGGCAATATTGGTCGCGATAGCTCTTTTTCTCGCGACCAAACAGTATTTTGGTTGCTCTAGGAATTAGTAACGCAGCTATAGTGACCAAATCTGCTACCAAAATAATTTGGTCGCGAAACAGTATTAGTAACCAATTTTTAGCTTTTAAAGACTAATTTATTTGGTTGCGAAAACCAGTTTTTGTTGTAGTGCATAATGGGGAAAAATAACTAAATCATCCAAACTTAATTTAGTTGTCTTTGTGATTCGATGGGGAAAGAACATTAATCATCCAAACTTAATCTAATCATCCAGACTAAATCAGTTGAGGCGTCTTTAAATGTCATGTCCTCGGCCTACAGAGTAGAAATTGATGCAATCAAGAAGACACGATTTAAATTTTTATTCATATTGTATAAGGTCTATGAACTCCCAACAAGAGAATGGTGGACTAAACTCCATTTACATAATTACGAAGTTAAGATCACTCCATCTGTCAAGCCCATACATCTACTTATGGACGCAACTGAGCTAAAGAGAGAATCAATGAGTCTCGGAAAGTAGATGATAAACACTTACAAAATGTTGTGCCTGCTTTTAGAAAGTTTTCAACAGGAACAATATGTACAACTAAGGATTCCAAGAATTGAGTTAGGCGAAAAGAAAAATCGGAAAATAGGCGCATTTCGTAAACAAAAAAAAAATGACACAATTTAACCTCCAACCTGGTACCTTGTAGCGATCAACCCGACGAGTGTGTGCGTCCCATTTTTCTCACCGAATCAGGATCAAAATGCGTCGGTGGATTAGTGGGTTGACAACCTTGTTACTAACTGTACTATTTTGGAGAAAAGATCCGCCAGCTTGACGCGCTGCCGGTTGGTTACTTTACTTGAGTCTCAGCAAAAAACGAGAAAACCAAAAACTGTTCTTTTTGGAGTATATACCTAAATCAATCAACCGGCGACAACGAAACCCTCTGGCCTCTTCTCTTCATCAGTCCCATAATACCTGCTCCGTATACGGGTGAATCCGTCCGCAATCCGCAAATCTTCTCTTCATTCCCCTCTCTCCGTATTGCGGTTCCTCCTCAGGTGTTACTTTCTTCTGCGACTCTCCGTTGGAGGTCCGCGGCGGATCAGAGTTTTGAAGCAGGATAGCAGCTTTCTCAATGTTACAGCGATGCAGCAGAGCGGTTTCTCGACTCTCGAAGCTTGGGTCGACTTCTCCTATGGAGGCGCTGCGGAAAGATGTAATCTTTACGCCACGGCATTGGTATTCAACGGCTGCTGCAACTTTGGCGCCTGCTATGAGCTCTCCCGTAAAATCAGTGGTACGTACTACTTGATTGAGTTGATTCGGTTCCCCTTTTACTTGCCAAAATATAGCCACAACAAATGCTTTCTGGTTTCCTGTGCTTCCAAGGGCTGTGATTCATAGTGGAAAAATGTAAACAGAATCGCTATTGCTCCCCCTTAATTATTGCACAATTGGAGGACTCTCAAAATGGCAGCTGAGGAATACAGGTTGATTAAGAACATACTTTCTCCATCTCAGCAATGGGCTTGAACTAGTGAATTATGAAATCAGAGATAACTTGCATTGTATTGTGGGTCAATAACTGAACAGTAAGCTGTTGTGTATAGTATCGTTAAAAAGGACTGTTGGAGACTTGGAGTTATTATCTTGTTGATTCCAAATGGAAGTACAAATTGTTATAAACAGGTAAATTTGGATAAAATGTTCTTGTCAAAGCCCTGTTCATTGGCTCTGGCTCCAGATTCCCGGCTCAGAATTGAAGAGCCAAAATACGAGGGACTCCGCCATGTTATCTATAAGATGCTATTGTTTTATAGCAAGCAAAGCACATCTATTCGGGGAGCAAATGTGGTGTACCGAAGGATCCTTCATCAAGTAGATAAACCTGCTATTTATGAAGGTAAATCCGCTTTAATGGTCGTATATTGATTGCTGATTGTAGCTTTCCATCTGTAGCTGAATCTGTTATGTCTATCTCAGTCAATGAGATTTTGGTATGGTATGCTGTTCAATAATGTCGATTTATTTGTGCATTTCCTTTCTGATCTTGTCTATTCTAGTGTGGCCTGTTTGAAGTATTTGTGATTTAATGCCTGTTATATTAATTCGCGGTGTGTTTCCTTTTCAGTTTTCAATATGGAGAAGACCTTTAAGATGACCTTTTCACTACTTGTACTTCACATGTGGCTTTGCTTACGCCGTCTAAAACAAGAAGGAAAAGAAGGTGCTGAATTTGGGCAATACCTTTATGAGAGATACAATCACGATGTGGAGCTTAGAGTATCCAAAGAAGGGGTAATTTGGTTAAATGCATGTTTGAGGATTAATTATCCATCATCAGTAATATCTAAGATGTACTCTGGATGGCAAGCACTCTTGATCATTTTGTTTTAAACCCAAACTTATTACTTTTGGATCTAGTTTACAAGATATTTTATAGTGTCGCCGCTTTCTGCTTCTGTTTGCTTACTTCGCAATGGCAGGTTAACTTGTTACTGACAAAATGGATGAAAGAGTTGGAGAAAATATTTTATGGAAATATTGTTGCTTATGATGCTGCCTTACTGCCGGAGGCTAAACCAGATGAGCTGCCGAAAGTCATATGGAGGTGAGAATTTGACACCAGTACGCAGTTATGGTAGTTGACCTGCTGCTGTGTTCCACTAGGAGCATTGATGGAACTTGAAGCACAAGATTATCCACATCAACCATCTTTATAGCTTGCCTTCAATTTTGCGTCGAGTTTAAAATGAAGCTTGCTTATGTAACTAGTAACGTCTCACAACAAGTTTCCTGCTGCAGGAATGTGTTTGCAGAAGATGGTGAACCACAGCCAGATGATGCTGCATCACGCACCGTCCAGGCATGATATCCTGGCCTGACCTGCTATTCCTGATGATGTTCATATCATGAGCTTTCTTTCTTTTCGGATAAAATCATATATTCATTGTTTTGGACATCATTCCTTGTAGAGTGCAACTAACTATTTGAGTTCTGTACTGATAGGCAATGACAAGGTATGTTCGTCGAGAAGTCAGTTGTTTTACATTAACAGGTAAAAGTCATCCTCTCCCTATGTTTCTGACCATATATTGAAACGTTTCTATGGGGGTTTATGGAGCAAAATTGTTGGTCATTCTATGGAAATTGCCTCTTGATTCTGAGCTTCACTTGCTGTTATTGATGGGTGTTTTTTGTTCAATTGGCAGACAAAGAAGCCATGTATTCAGGGAACTTCATGTTCACGTCCTTGGACAACATTCCATCGGTTTCTGCCAAGAGATAGAATAAAGTAGATGGTGTGAAGATCTTTGAACTCCATAGCAGGCCGCTCTTGTACTCAAGCAGCTTTCATTGCTCGAAACAGTCCTCTTCTTGCTACATGGATTTTATACCTACAATAGAATGTTACATTACTTGCATACTATTCATCAGCCAAAGATGACTGGAAAGAGGCCAAGAAGGAAGCTCAAAACTTGAGGAACCCGAGAACAATAATCAGATCTCATGATACACTGTTTGTAGTGCTATAGTTTTAGTCGTCTCATGAGAAGTTTGTTGTTACACAAAAGCATCAATTGCCTATTTTTTTCTCGACATATTCTTGGACGGCCACCTGCCCCTGCCGGGTCCAACCGCTGCGAACCAATATAGGGGACCAAATTTCGCCCCTTCCCTCATTTCCACTCATTTTATCACTTCCTTCTCTATCCCAAACCTGATCTCCCTCTCCTTCCATCATCTTCTCTAAAACTTCCCCCCACATTTTCAATCTTCTACTCACCCACTTCATCTCCAAAACTCAAAATCAAGCCCTCAACCTTGAAAACCCATACCCTAACCATCAAAGACTAAAGGAAAAATAAAAAGGCCCAAGAAAACCCAACCACCACCTCATGGCGGTTGACACCATTACCTCACCGCCGCCACTCTCCCTTTCATTTTCTTCGATTTTTCTTGCATATTTTGAGTTCAATCCAAGTGCGGATGAAAAATTGTTCATTTGGATTATAATCGGAACTATTTAGTCAGTTGTCGATTAACCATTAATCATTTTGTGCTTACCGTTAACCCCATCATTTTATATTAGTAATTTAATAGTAACGGTATAGTCGGTTCTTGGTAATTATATCGGTTAACTGAATAGCCGTTAAACAAGTGATTTGGCGAGGTTATATCGAAATAATCGATTTGTAGTCTAACCAACAGAATACCTCCTTTTTTCAATTGTGCATTTTTTTAGATGTTCCTTTACATATGTATGTGTTCTTTTTTAAAATTGTTATCACTGCATAAAAAATAATTGGGTTAATAGTTTATTTTGGCTCGAACTATGACCATATAATCAATTTTGGCTCGTGGTTTCAGAAATTAACATCATGGCATCAACTATGCAACATGTACACTCAATTGGCTCGACACATGGTTTGACCGTTTATTTGGACGGTCAACACGCCATGTCATTGTCTCGTCAGCCTAAAAATCATTAAAAAATATAAATCCAAATTATTTTCCTAATTTCTACTATTTATCATTATCAAATTAACCAAAAAATAAAATTATAATTTTTTTTGTTTAATTTGAAAATGATAAATCTTACAAATTAGGAAAATAATTTGAATTTGTATTTTTTAATGATTTTTAGTTGACGAGGTAATGACATGGCATGTTGACTAACGGTCAACGGTGTTGATCGTCCAAATTGACGGCCACACCATGTATCGGGCCAATTGAGTCTATATGCTACCTAGTTGAGGTCAGTATGTTAATTTCTGAAACCAAGAGCCAAAGTTGATTATATGATCATAGTTCGGACCAAAATAAGGTATTAACCCAAAATAATTTATCATAGAGAGTAATCTATAATCAACTCAATCCAACACAAATATCTAATATAACACCACTATATCGTCAAATATGATTAAAGGAGTAGACACGAATCTAGTCTAGATAATAAATAAAAGTCGAATGATGAAAACTGTTGCTCCATTTCAAATTTCCTGCAACGAGAGTGATTATAGGAAGGACATTTTGGTCTTCACAATTGCTTATTTTCTTATTTATTTATTCATAAAAAAGGCATGCACTGGGATTTGAACCTTGGTCTCTTTAAAGGCAAGCAAGGATCATAACCAATCACACTAAGTATATTTATTGTATCTATTTAAATTCAAACATACACGAACCTAAATTATGAAAATCATATGACTTTTTTAACGATTAGTTGGCCACTGAATCTCCCGTAAGTACTTATTTGGTGTTTTAATACTTTGATTATTTTAGTTGTAGTTTAATACTTAATTTAAATTTCTATCTATTTTATAAATATACAATAACCCTAAAATTGCAGCCCAAATATCACTGGTTCGAATATTGCATATCGAATTGCAATATTAAACATGTAGAAGCAATATCGACTTCTTAAATTAATATTATTTTTCAGAATTACTATGGAGAAATTATATCTTTGTGCAAACTATATGAGACTGGTTCTTTTAATGTTTTAGTCGGGATAATCGCTACATTTTAAACTTCTTCATAATCTGGCATGATTGGATCCAATGATCATTATACAAGATTGTGTTTAATAGGGTGGCTCATTTCACCACTTTTTGGCGTGTTAATGAATTTGTAGGACAATGACAGGTCTACATCTACACTCATCACAATCTACACATCATATAAATGTGAAATGTGAAATGAGAAAAGAGGGATTCCATTTCAAATTTGATGCGTACAGAGCAATTTTTTAGGGGTAAATTTAGAAGATGCCAGTGCGGTCGGTCTGTTGAGCACGAAAGTAAAAATATGTTTTCATTTAAACGGGCCCAAACTGTTATATGGCCCACTAATCGTGCACCCATCGCCAATGCAGTCAAATTCGGGATTTTGATCGTAAAATCGTAGAATTTTAGGATTTTACTTAGGGATTCCGATCTTGATTTTACTATAAAATCGGTGGACCTTAAAATCGTTTAAAGTCGGGAATAAAATCGTTAAAATCGTAAAATAGTACCGAAATCGGGATTTTGATCGTAAGAGAACAAAATAGGTGGTTTGAGCCAATTTAAAATAAGTATAACTGTTTCAGCGGAAAGGACAATGAAATCTTCTCAGATATTTTTCTATTAGAAAAATATTCAAAAATAATAAAAATAACCAAATTAGGGTTCGGTTAATCTCTTTCCATTCACCCCATTTAACTTATTGGTAAAACACCTATCCTAATATTGGAAGTATGTAAGAACTAACATCATTATTAACTAATTAATTTATTAATGAATATATTTGTACCAAGCCACTAACATTACTTATTTTATTGGAGTTCAATTATTTTTAGTTTTAAATCATACTTAGTAGACGATGTCGAAATATTACTTTGAGTTAAACAACCTAGACATAACATGAAAATAAGAGCCAAACCCATGAACTATATCCCTTCATCATGAATTATTTTGAGTTACACATTAAATAACAATGAAAATAGTGATTTTGGAACATTAATCTTGAGAATTATCTTATGGAAAAAAAATCTTCTGAATTATCATTTTAAATGCTATGTGTCTTTGTGATATTAATAATTTACCTTATTAATATTCTTATATGCTATGTTCTATATGGTACTTAAAATCCTACGATTTTACGATTCGATTATACGATTTTGATTTTACCCCAGTTTTCGATTTTAGGTAAAATCTCGATTTTAACTGCTTTGCCCATCGCAGCCTCTCCAAATCTTCCTATTACTCGCCGGGTCATCTCCTCCACTACAAAATATCTCCTCATGTACTCAAAGTTCTCACTGAAACCTAATATCTACAAGTTAGGCGCAGAGGGAGCAACCGATGGATTGTAGCGACCCCCACTATTTTGATAGCTAATCAAGAAGAGCGCGTTTGTTTAGTTGTATGGTGATTCACTTAATTAACAATTTTTATTCCGTTGACAGCCTCCTCTCCGCAATTGTATTGTGTTCACGTTGATCTGAAGGCGCAAGTGCAACAGGTCCAGGGGTAAACAATATGTATAAAGCGTTGGCCAAATTGAATTGAGTCATTCTACTTGGAATATGAAAATTTTTGCTTAATTGCTTTGGTTCGTGATGCAACTATGTTATGTTTGAAGGTAGACCAACGCAAACAACAGCACAGCTCCAGGGCTATTCTGCACATTCGGTAGTTGGGGCATTAATTGATAATTATTTGGGATTATTCCTACAAGTACATAATTTGGAACGTGCCATTATATTGCATTGATTAATAGTTGTTTGAGATTTTTCAAATGAGTGATTTGACATGTTAAACTCTCTTATTTTTGAAAATGGAGTCTTCGAAGTGGAATATGAAGATTTTGGATTAAGCTTGGTTTCGTAACGCCCTTATGGGTGTTTATTCTCTAAAATGCAGCTGTCTTTCAAAGTGCCCGTTACAAATGGCAAGTCAGGATACAACGATGGTACCGGTACACGTTTATATCATTAGTAGGTAGCAGATTGTGTCCATTCTACTATATCATTTAGCTAAATACTTAGTTGTTCTTTTCAACTAAAAATTATGCTTAAATGCTGTGATTGGCCTCAGAAATGTATGTCTTTGCATTAACTGTTAATGATTGTGAGTTTTGGTTTAATGGTGAAAAGTCCATTTATTTAGAAGTTTAAATTGGGCAAACCTATTGGACAATAGGAATGCCATACATTAGTGTCGTGGGAGGTTTGTTTGATGTCTCAGGGTGTTAGATTTTTAAGAAGGTTGTTTGTTGTGGCAGAGAGTCCCTAAAGCTAGCGAGGTATTCCTATGTGGGCTTTTTCTTTGTTTGACTTTTTCTCGCCTTTTTTCTTATCTCTTTTTGGTTTTTGTGTGCTACCTTCAGTTGCTACGTCTTCATTTGTGAGCCATCTATACTTTTCTTATTCAGTGCCTAAAAATCATATATGCTCGATTGCATAGTAGTTACTAATAGATACATTTATACCAATAGAGAGATTTTAAGTTTTTATCAGTTGTTAGTTTTAATATTTACTTACACTGGTTGTTTATGTAGTTTTCTTTGTAATATTTCTCATTATACAACTAATTACTATGGCTACGTAGTTGTATAAGTGGGGGTTGGACATGATAGTTCTTAGAAGCATCAATACTTGAAGGTTATTATAATGACCAAATTCTAAAGTTATGGTTTGCCTTCAACTTGCTTGGAGCATTTCAGTTATGCATCAATTGTTCTCTCCGTGTAGTTAACTCTCAGACAAATCGAAAATCTTGCTGATATGTGCTTGATTGTAGTTAAATTTAGGGTTCTACTGCATTGTTGCTTTACTCTTTTTTCGTGGTTGAGTCTGCTTCAAAAAATTTAGTTTGATTTTAGAAAATTTTGCTTCTGCAGTCCTGTCTTGCCACCAACGCGTTCAATAGATGGAGACGGGAGAGGCGAAGGCTATTTTTGTGTTGTTGTTGCTAGTTTAGGGATCGGTTTGTGAAGAAGAGGGAGAAGAGAGGGGGAAAGGGAAATGCAGGAGAGGGGGATAACTCTTTTCTCCGACAAAAATGGAGTGAAGAAAGGAATTATGATCAGTAAGAATATGGTTATCTTACATAACGGTCTCTATTCTGTTTGAATTGAGCTTGAGAGGCAGTGATAAGGACGAGCTGCAACCAATTCATAGTGAGAAGAGAGCTATGAACTGTGATCATGTCTTATTTCAAGTTAGAAGGTAGTTTCAGTATAAGGATTATTTAATTTGACAAGTTGTTTCGTCCATGATTCTTGGTAGTTTCAGTGCCATTCTAGCCAATGTTTAGTCTGTAATTTTTGAGAACTGATGTGCAAGTAATGACTTTCACTTAGCTTCAACTATTATGTGTGTATTTATTGGCATGTGATAGAATTCTCTTTTCCTTTTCATTGAATTCATTTTCATACTCTAATTGTATTATTTGTACATAGGCAAATCATGCTCGAGATGGCAACTCGCTGATATGGCTGGTGCAAGGAATGAAGCCATCATTAGAATTCAGACCGACAACGGGGAGGGATGCCCAGGACTAATTCAATGATGATTGATGATGGTATAATAAAAACTGCAGTCTGCATCAGCACCAATTTCTAGGCCTAAGTAAAGGTATTCAACCCAGAACTCTGCTTAGCGCTAAAAATTGCCCTCACCCAACCTTGATCCTGTTTGACCCACTTCTGAAGAGTCAAGATATATGACTAATCCTCCCCGTTCGTATTTTATTATTGACTCTTTCTGACCCTGTAGGTTGGGGCGGGTCGGAAGAATTGGATTAGTGGGTCGGTCCTAATCAAGTAGAATCTCAATCCCTTCACTCTCACTTGCTTTCTCTCCCATTCCACAAGTGGGTAACATACAGTAATCCGGCCAACGGGCCGGGTAATAAGCTAGTGTTTTTATTAAAGTTGAACATGCCCAACAGTCACTTCATACAAACATTACCTGGTCAACGAAACTGATACAAAGCAAATTCCTCTCAAATATCACTATTTGTTCACTTTTCCATTGTGTATTACAAACGTCGTCAGGAGAAGAACAATACAATTGATCTCTCAGTTAGGAGTCCTGCTTGGGCTTGGTGACATTAATTTCCCCCTAGCGTCGGCATCTGACAAATCCACTGATTTGATTATGAAGCCTCTGCCAAGTCGGAAGTATTAAAGAATGTACCGTTTCCTGATGGCGACAAATCACTGGTTTGGAAAGGCAACATTGAATTCAAGATTCCCGCGGTTCCAAAGGCCAAAATTTTCAATACAATCTACGTGATATCAAGGAAATAAAGGCAGAAACGAGAAAAATCCTCCAACCTGCATTTATTGAGACACCGACCATTTGCTCGTTCTGTCCTAAGTTTAAGAACCCATTGGCTTGCAGCAGACTGCAGGCCTTCCTTTCCAAAAGATTGATGATCAATGGCTAAATCCAAGGGAAGGGGTCAAACAAACAGTAGAAGAATGGTTTCTTGGGATAATGGAAGTGGGCGGGAAGCGGTCCCATAGATGATGGCATTAACATCTATTAAGTTTAGGTATCAAATTGTAATTTGTCTATGAAACTCAAATCGAAAGGACAGAATGAGGGAATGAAAAAAATTATTTTTTGATACTACATATTTACATCACACACATGTGCCCCTTCAATTTTTAATAACAACAAGCGTACCCCTCAAACTCATGTTCGACGGGGAATCCACCATCGCGCCTACTAAGCCAAGACTTGTGTGTTAGGGCTAGCAGGTATAGGGTTTGCTTGGGGTGGGCTTGTCCACGTGTTTAGACATGGGTTTTGGGCGTGCAAGTCTTAGGCCTTGTTGTTTCATTTTTGGTTCAATCGTGTTTTCGTTTGGTGCTTTCGTCATTCCTTTCAGTGATGTAATCTTTGTACATTGTGTTTAGTTTTTAATGAATCAGCCAACTATCATTAAAAAAAATCTACGACCTTTTAACTATCGTCTATCGCCATTTAGCACCTTATACCAGGGTGGTAGAGAACTGTTGATGCCAAGATACTCTCCCACCCACGAGACTCCTCCAACTGCTCCACGCCTAGCGCTTGGACCCTGCAGGACGGGTGCCTAGAGGGCTAGACCCGCCCGTTAGCACTCCAACGATCAAGTCAGAAGCAACTCTAGAGAGAGAAGTGAAGAAAGAAGTTTTAGTGTGAGAAAACCGACCTGCTTAAATGCTACCTACCAAGTGCTATTTATACTACTCGGGCTCCTCGACCAAGCTCCGACCAACTCCTGCCACCAAGCCTTACGTCAGCCTAGCATTAAATGCCTGGTCTGCCCTGGCGCCTACGCGTCTACACGTGGCACACTGTCCGTTTTCCACGTCGGGGCGCATAGGGGGACCACTGGCCTCGTGGCGCCCTTCCGACCTTGCCCATCCGTACTTCCTTGTCTGCGAGCCTATTTTGTCGCCATGCGCCCCCTTTTCCTTCATAGCTACCTAGGTTATGCCCTCATGGGCCATAAATGGGTTTGATGTCCAATAGGCACCTGCCTTTCATGGGCTTGTTTCTATTACCCTAATCATGGGTTATGCCCCAGATAGGTCATAAGTGGGCCTCCGGCCCAACGGACTCTTTACTTTCGTAGGCTTATCTCTATTACCCCAACAAGAACGATACATTTTTTGTCCTGAAATTTTGTTTCATAAATATGTCAAATTTTATAATCATAATGAACTCATTACTTTAGGCACAATTTTTTAAAATTTTAAGTTTAAAATTAAGGTTGTTTAGAGCGGTAGTAGGTGATAATGAGCGGTAGAGAAAAAACATCCTCAAAATATATTGAAGATGAATATAATTTTGTAGACCACAATAAACACATTCTAGAAAAAATTCCAAAATTCGGGTTAAAAAGTATGGAAAAACACACAACCCTAACATCACTACTCAAAACCAAGTATTTAAATATGGTTATGCACAAAGTAATAACCAAGAGTTATAATCCTACCCTACACCCCTAGACCCTAAGTTTTCATCATGCTACATCCCTTTCCTTCAGTAGTTTTTGGGAATGGATCATGTCAGTAACCTTATGGTGAGTAACTATGAGTAACCCGCCCACATCAGCATGACATCAGCATCCTCTCTCTCCAAAAAGCCTTTAATTTTCCCCTCCTTAATCTTTGACGGACGATTTCTCACTCGTTTTAAGTCAAAATTTAATTTTTTTTTTGCACAGTTAGATCAGATTAATTGTGCTCTTCAAAATGATATCCACTTTGATATATTTTTCGAACAAAAAAATTGAGCCATTTTTTACCAGTCTATACCATATGGTATTGACTGGTATTGAAATAAGAGCATACCTATGGTTTGAAAAGCGTACCATGGTGGTATGAACAAACCGAGACTGTAGGATGATTGAATACATGATAGTAGAAATATATTAATTGTCATTTACGACTTTTAACATTGTATACCATAAGATACCATAAAATACCACCCCGTACCAGGGTGGTATTGTATGGTATTGTGTGGTATTTTTTGCTCTTGTAATTTGTTCACCCAGAAATTTGTAGATCCAATAGATCATGATGAACTCGTCCCTGCTGTGCAAACGTTTTCAAAAACGAATGAAAAACGAAGAAGATACCATATGGTATGCAGTTGGTACCGAGAGGCCAGAATTTTTTTTTCCTCAAAAAATATTGAAAATTGATCTCATTTTGTAGAGCACGATGAACTCGTTCCATCTGTGCAAAAAAAATTAAAATCCGAGTTAAAACGAAAAAGATATGAGTCAATTAAGAAAGCTAGTGAAAATAAAAATGGACTTTAATTCTCCATACTTAGATCTGGATTTTCTAAATGAAGGGTTCAGATTTGGTTATTGATGAGGGTTATGCACTCTATCTTGAGCCGTAGTTTTTCCCTTGATGAACTTTGTTGATATGTTCAAACCATGATATGCATTATTGATAATACATTCTGTTAGGATATGTAGGAGTACGACACATTATTATTTGCTTATAGACAAAGCCAAATAGTGACTCGATGATGAGACGGCGGGAACGAAACGAGAGCAACAACAGAAAAACAGAGGAAACAGAGCAGGTTCATGGATCATCAAATCAATCTATACACTTGTTCCATTCAAATTTACTACTCTGTTAGTCTGTTTCGATTACATGGTGATAATTCCTTCTGAGTCGCTAATCGCTATCATAAGAAAAAGGACGAGAGAACCCTGCACTGATGGTCAAAGTTTTCTCTCCCTTGTTGGACTCTTTCGTTTGGAAGTTTTCCACAAAGGAAAACCCGCCAACCAAAACTTGCTACCCGAGTATATCATTCCCCACACACAGGCAAGCAAGATCACCCAAATCTAGTCTAGTCTCTATTTCAACCCACCAAGGTTTTGTTAGCTTCAGGTAGACGACAGAAAACTCGACACTTTTTCCTGTTTGACGATTGGCTCTTTCTGATGAACGTGCATGCCTTCTTCTACAATGACAAATGCGTTCTGGGACCAGATAAAGCACCAATCTTTTCTTTTCTGTATAGTCTGATGATGCTTTTCGACACGTAAAGCATTTCCCAGAAGACCCGACAAAAGCCGATACACCAATTCCTGCTTTCTTGTGGAACATGGCCCCATGGATGTCTGTATATTATTACCTCGAGTTAGTAACTGAAGCTAGCTAGAAGCCGATTATGTCATCCATGGATGTTGCATGCAAGCTACATGCCTCTCTGGGTTTGGGTTTCTGCCACCAAAGATTTCAACTTTTTCTTCATTCAAGCCTACCCACAAAAGACCGAGTAACTTCTGCTCCTTCAGATGTTGTTATCTTCCCATCTCATCGAGCTTGCACACCACTTGCTTGATGTTGGGTCTAAGAGAAGGAGAAGGGGAACAGCAAGACATTGCAAGCTGAAAGAACTTGAATATGCACTCTTCCCTGACAGAATTCTCACTCTCACTCCCACTGTCTAAAAGAATGTCCGGATGGTAAATGTCTGCGATTCTACGATCAAGCACTGCGTTTCGCATTGATGTCGGAAGGTAAAATTCATCATCGGGAGTGGGATTCGGATTCACCGGTTCCTTCCCCGAGAGCAGCTCGAGCAACACTATTCCTAGGCTGTAGATATCAGTTTCTTCGCTTGCATCTTTCATTTTGACGAGCTCGGGAGCTTTGTACCCCTCGGCTGCAGATGTCTCGAGCATTTCCTGCGCCGCTGTAGGGTTCAGGAGGAGATGCAGGCCGAAATCCGATATGCAAGGGGACCCGCTGCGGTCGAGGACTATGTTCTTCGACTTGAGGTTGCCGTGAATCACAGGCTTCTGGAGTCCTGTGTGGAGGTAGTCGAAGCCTCTGGCTATACCAATAGATAGCCTGTGGATGGTTGTCCATTTGTGAGACTCGCCATTTCCGCCTGAAGGAAAACAATTCCGATTGATTCAGTATGATTAAGCATTATTACAGGGAAAGCATTATTATTATTATCGAGAGGTGAAACAACTCCTACAACAGCGGCAGCTGCAACATGATTTCCATTTGCTTAGAGGGAAAGCAAGGAGATAAAAATAGCCAAGAAAGTTGGTGCCAACAGCTAAATTAAGAAAAATGATAATCACCAAACGGAAGAAACAACTTAATTATAGTTTGACCAACTGGCCAGCAGGTAATCCAATACAATCAATCAAACAAATCATAAATGCCTTTTACTGTCTCTGAAATCTTAATCATATTACAGACAACACCATCCCACCCCCCAATCATCAGGAAAGAAACATATTTTTACTTAATTAAAAGACGGAACAAGATTTCACCAAAAATAAAGTAATGAGAAGGTTTACATTATTGGAAGATAAAAGTAAGGGAGAGGGACTGTGGGTGATGACTGATGAATGATGATCAATTGAAAGAACTGAAAAAAGAACAGCATTAAAGCAAACAGGAGCTTTTTCAGACAATTCCTTCCATCATGTTAATGAATTATACTTGAATTCCCTCTTCTGACAAGTACTATTCCAAACCATTATATGGGTCCAAGCATTTGTCGAAACCTAGAACCATTTTCCTTTCCGAAAAAAGCAAAGCAAGATTGAAGCATTTTCCATCAGAATCACTGAAATTGATGAACAGAAGAGGGAAATAGACAGCAAAGCCTACGGATGCGAGGAGGGTAAAGTCAACTTGGCAGGAAACTGTTACTTTAACCCATCACTGTTGATGTCAGAAGGGCATAAAAATAGCACCTTTCTGAGATTTTGGAAGACAAACAGAGAGAACCAAAGGGGGGAAGAAGTAAGAACAGCAGAGAGAGAACAAAAGAGAAGCTGACCTCGTATGAAATGAGCCAGATTGCCACGCCTGAAGAAAGGATGAACAAGGAGCTTCTCGCCTCTAGGGCCAGCATAGAACCCCAAAAGAGGGACCAAATTAGGGTGCCGGATGCAACCCAGAAACTGAACGACGCCACCAAAATCCTTAACCTTCGCAGTACAAACGGGCCGCAAGAACCTAAGCAGCCTGACGCAGTTGCTCCTCTGCAGAAGGGCTTTGTAAAGGGTACCATAGTTGGATTTGCCGATGACTTCTCCAGGGGCGTCGAGAATGTCGGTGACAGTAAGCTCCTGCCCACCTTGGAACCTCACCAAATCCTCTGCCCCTGTCGTCTCGCCACTCTGTTTCTTATTCTCCTGGTCTGTAACTTCGACGTCGTATTGGGGTTTCCTTCCCCTTCTCCTTATGCAAACCAGGAGGGCTACTACGAGGAGAATGAGCAGGACAGCGGCCGAAAATGATGATGCTAAGAGTAATTCCACCAAATGGGTGTGCTTCATTTTAGGACGAGGGAGCAGCTTTTAGGGCTTCCGGGAATTGGATTGCAGAATGGCAGAGGCAAGGGAACGAAGATCAAGATCTGGGAAGTGGGTATTACTGAAGAGTGGAACTGAAAGCGGTTTGCTAGTTGCTACGATCAAAAGATTCCAACTTTGTTTCTCCTTTCTTTTTTCCTCCCCTGTATGGAAAATTGCGAAAGTGAGTGGGGGAGCAGAGAGGAGACAAGAAGGTGACTGAATATGGAAGAGAACTTTCGTGGTGCGAAACCCAAGGATTAAGAAGAGAAGAAGAAGAAGGAGAACGTTGATGTGAAAGTAAAAGAAGAATGGACCGATACAGTTGTGGAATGGTTCGGCTCAAGTTGTAATGGTTTGGAAGTGGTCGAGGAGAAGAAGTATTTGGGATTGGAAGATAAGAGAACGGAAACAGGGAGTGAAGGAATTCAGAACTGAGAAGAGAGAATATGAGGAGAAAGGGAAGAAAATCTCGAATGAGCTGTGGAAGTTGGGAATTGGGAAGTGAGACAGATCTGAAAAGAAAAGACAGGCATGTGGTGGAATGGGGGAGGCTGGTTTATTAAACGGGCCGGGAGGGGAATTGGCAGTTACGGGAAAAACTACATCATCCCGTTGTTCATGCCTTGTTGGCCAAAGATTCAAAGAGTGCGCCTGCGTTGCGTGCGGCTCTGCTTCAATGTTGTTTGCTGATGACTTTATGAAAAGGTACAGCCTGCCAATGTCATCACACAGCTTCTTGACAACAATTTCCATGCCTTCTCTGCGCCTTACTCTCTTATGTTTTACGTTTTTATCTCCCTTGATCATTCTTGAGCTTTGCTATTATGGTCCGTTTCCTTCTATAGCTGAAGCTTTGGCATGAAAATGGAGTTACTTGTACACCCTTCTTGTACCCGATCGATTCGAGCCCATTTTTTACACTAATGCAATGAAACAAACAATAATTTTGCAAATAGATTGTACAATGTGATAGCGAGCAAACTGAAAATCATGTAAATCATGCATTTTTCAAATACATCAAACCAATTGCAACCAAACGATAACAGTCGGCGCAATTAGCACGTCAATATTTGGCTTACAAAATATTATTAGTAAAAACACACATGATCTTGTTAATAAATAAATCTTAACAAAACAAAAAAAAAATCAAGATGATTTTCTATCTAGATCCTGAGCTCATGTTTGTAATGTTCTTAACTAGATTTTATTTTACAAACAAGAAGATTAAATCATAGTCCACAAAATTTTCTTGTATATCTACCGAATAGCCCCACAAAAGTAAATGCTTCCTCTTCCTAGGTTGTTTGGAAGTTGTGATTTCAAATGGTGTATTGATCTAATTAATGTATTTGTGAGATTAAGTCGTTTTTTTGGTTTATATAGAACTATAATACATGTATTTACTTTTTGGAGGCCCCACCACAATCACTCAATATTGAGGGATTTACAATCTCTACTTTTTGTTGAGATTCTTCACAATCACTCAATACTAACTTTTTTACCTTTGAAACAAAAACACAATCTAAACCTCCAAACAAGATATTTATCTAATACATCAATTGATTCAATCCATCAAATGATAATACACTAATTGTCCCAATACATCAATTTGAAGAATCACAACTTCCAAACAAATAAGTCTCCACCTAGAACTAGAAGGACTAAGGATGATTCTATTGAATGGGACTTCTTAAATTCCAGTGAAATACCATTGGTGCATACCTAAATCTAATGGCGTCTGTTCATAACCCAAACAGATCACCGGCGGGCTGATAAGGTTTCCCAAAACAAGAAAGAGCGAGAGAATGTTGTTGTTGGAAGTTGGAACCACCTATGCTTTTGCTTCTGCAAGTTCATCAATTGTGACTTTGTTCATTTGCTTTCCACTAGTTCAGTAGGAAATCTGTGCTGGGATAATTAAATGTAACAAGACAACATATGCAAATGGTGAAAGTTAAACGAAATCAATGATCACCAACCCTCAACTATATTGTATGTTATAAACGCGCTGCTACGGATCGGGAAATCGCCGGAATCGATAAAGAAAGAATACGAAAGCGAGAAAAACACAGACACACGATTTACGTGGTTCACTAACACGATGTGTGTTAGCTAGTCCACGGGCGAGAGAGAGCCAATTTCACTATATCGAGGAGATTACAGATTACAGAGGACTATGAGAAGTATTTATAGTACTTCTCCATGTGGGTCTAAACCTAATCCAATCTGGCAAAGGAAACGGTTACAGACCAGGCTTAGAACCCGAACCCAAATAACATTGAGTCCATACACCGCAGGCCGGGGGCGTTGCCCCTAGACCCCACTCGCTGACCGGGCAGCGAGACCCCCGACTACCAGTCGTAGCGGCTGATAGTCCGATTCAAGTCACATCAACATGGTACTTGATGGTACAATGAGGGATTCCTCCTCATTCATATAATACAATTGGAGGGGCAATGGAGTACACTATTGTAGTAGTCGAAACGGCGGATTCTCCGACTACATTACAATACCTTGCTCCTTATACAGGAGCAGCTATGGCCGAACATTTTATGTATTTTTGTTCAGGCATTCACTAAAGGTTGAAGCTGACTTTGATGGAAAAAAGCTGATACGGGTCTAGATCAAATTGTACTTAATCGATATTTAGATTGAATCGAATTGGATCAAATATATTTCGCTTATGTTTCTATCCTAAAATTATTCTAAGTATGGAAGAAAAGTGGATTGAAATTACATTTGGACCCGACCAAATCCAACCTAGTGAATCAAATATGTTTTTGGTTCGATTATGGTCCTTAATTTTCCTTTAGTTTTGATTTGGTCTTATCTCACTTCGATTTTATTTTAGAACGAGTCGACCGATGCCCATTCTTAGAAGAGGGTGGGATATGTTTTCCTGTATTATGTTGAGGGCAATGAAGACATTTGGTTGAAGTTAACGAAATGAATACAATTATTACTTAGGGTTGCTAACTTTTGTTTCAATTTCTTTATTATCCAAAAAGTAAGTAAATATCGAATATATCATTGCTGGTTGATTTTTGTGTGATCTTTTGAGAATGGAAAAGATATCATTCTTTCTAAAAAAGAATGAAATCTTCTGGTTTATACCAATTTTAAGTCACAATTATTTTGATGAATATGGTCCAATTGTTACTTCTCTAAGAACTCAACAAAAGAAGCACAGTATAAGAAGCTACCTTAAAGTTACATTAGGATCATTTTCTAGCATTGTTGGGGAATGACTCATCCCTACATGTGTGTCATATGTAAGTAAGATAATAAATTGACATTCACCGGCTTTTTTGTTTATTAACAAGCCATGTCGAGCCCGAGTTAACCTTGTTACCTAAAATCTTGACTCATATTTGATTCATTTTTTATGTCATGTATGATAAATGTGATTAATGTCATGATGAAATAAATAATAATAGTCAAATGTTCAATATTAAATAATCCAATGATATACTCGTTTGATATCATATTATTTAGTTAATAAATTTTAACTACTACAAATCATGTTATTTCATTGAACCGAAGCAATCTACAACACATAATTTTTATTATTATTAAATGGATGCAATTGCATCCTACCTTTCATTCAAAACCACCCCGGATTCGGAGATCCAATGAACATCGTACCTAACCCAATTACAAAGAGATGGATCGGTCAACGGAAAAAGAAAACAATCCCAAAGGCACAAAATGGCCTCTGTTAGCAAGATAGTCTTACTATACAGTATACACAATTTCTTTTTGAAGTTAAAAAATAAGACATATTTTCTCACATACTCAACGTGTTCAACTTCATATAGGGTGAGATATAAAATTTAATTATCATATGAATTATCAAACTTCAACTGATAAGATATAGTTTGATTCGCTCATAAGTTGGTAATCGAGTTGACACTCTAACCACTATGTTGAGACATCTCATGAGTTGTTAACGAGTCACTCTACGAGTTAAACTCAACAAGCCAACTAGTAAAACTAGCTCGCGAGCTTCGCAAGCCGAACAAGACTTAGGTTAGAGTTGGCTCGTTAGTAAAAAAAACAAATCTGAGTTTTAAACGAATTTTTCTCAAACGGAATGTCAAGCTAATTGCGAGCAGTTTGGCTCAGGCTTAGATTCACAATCGTGCTTCACACCTCCATCCATGACTCAAGTCAATAACTTTTCCCCAGAACACTAGAGCCCCGCTGTCTGGCCGGAAGTAGCTGTTTCCGCCGGCACTGCCCATTGAGATACCCTGAAGTACGCTGTCCGGTCTCGGAGTCGGCTAACATGAGAGAAGGCAAGCCCCAAGCTCCAAATGAGGAGCAGTCCAAATACAAGCGTTCTGATGAATCTGCAGAACACTGCCTTCACGAACATCGATCAAAGAAGCGTAAAGTTGTATCAGACGCGCAAACCCTAACTCTACAACCCCATCTCGATTTTCCGACTGTGAATAGGTTTGCGCCAATTAATTCCTCGTCGTCTCGAAGGCGAAGGAGAAATCGGTACCGAAGCAGAGAGCCGATTACTTTAGAGAGCAATCGCAGTTGGGTCTCAAGTTCTCATGATCCCGCCGCTTTTGCAGGTATCGGTTTTACCATTGCATATCCGTATTTCTGTTTGTTTTTAACGTTTCACTTGCAATAAATTTGAACTCTTTCATTGGTTTGCTTTCTTTCACAGATAGACTTGTGTTGGTTTCGTATAATATACTTGGTGTAGAGAATGCCTTAAAGCATCCAGACTTGTACTCTCAAGTTCCAAGAGAATTCTTGAAGTGGGGTCGCAGGAAGCGGCTCATATGCAAGGAGATCAAACAATATAACGCTGGCATCCTATGTTTTCAGGCAGGTAACCTTGACTTAATACTGGAGTAGCACAAGTAACCTTTTATTGAACTAGATTATGACACCTTTGAGTTGGTATCAGTTGTGAAATCAGTCTTAGGTCTCTCCTTGGAGATAGGGATCCTTTCAATTAAGGCAGACAGGCGAGTGAATGTTTTAGTTTTTCCCCGCTCGCTAGTGAAATGATTGTTTTTATCTCTAGGCCAAACCCTTGGGGTGCTTTTGACGTGTGAGCTTTCTGCATCTTACAAAGTGGCGATCGTCGCTCGTTATATACATACTCCTTGAGTTTATGTTTGAATCTCTGCCAATTGTAATGAGAAAGAACAGTTGTTTCAGCTACTTTCATCTGTAGTGTCTTTGTTCCCGGAATCCCACATGAGTTTATTCATATGAAAATGGCTATTGCACCTGACAATAATTATTCCACTACCTGCCAGGCTGCTGTTAGTATTGAACATGGAAAATCTTACCAGCTTTAGGTTTTCTTTCCCGGTCAGTTACAAGCTATAGTTCTAGAAAACATGTACTTTTGATCTATAGTTTCTTTCAGGTGTTCCTTTGACCCCTGATTTTATTAGGAGCTCTTCTCTCTCGATGTAGAATCTATTTATTATCGTGTATTTTCCTTTGTTTACTTAATTATAACATATGCTTATTTGAGTTTTGTGCTCTTCGTATAATTAATTACAGGAGGTTGATCGTTTCAATGATTTGGATAGCCTTCTCCAAAAGGATGGCTTTAGAGGTGTCTATACAGTAAGTCAGATATAAATGTTCCTATCCTGATGAATTGCTTGTGATAATTTAGATTTGTTGATTCATAATTTCTTCAGGCACGCACTGGTGAAGCATGTGATGGCTGTGCTATGTTCTGGAAAGATGAGATGTAAGGGCACTAATAAAATTTCTGAATTTCCTATACAGGTCCCCTGTATGAAAGTGAGAGATAGGTTCCCTTTTCTGTTGCATCAGAAGTGATGCACATTTTTCTGAAGGCATGATTTGTCTTTCATGAATGTTGTTCAGGAAATAAAAAGTTACATGTAACTAATAACTTAAGGCAGTGCACTTGCTCAGACGAATTAATGTGGTCTTAAATGGAATGTCCTTTGTAGAAGTCTAATCCGATGTTTTGTTCTTCCCTGGTTTTCCTTCCATTCCGCTGATTGATCAATTCAAAACTAATCACCTGCCTGGCTACAGGTATACACTGTTGCATAAAGAACATATCGAGTTCCGGAATTTTGGTCTCCGGGACAATGTAGCTCAGCTGTGTGTCCTACAGGTTTGCAAAAGGATGTGATTTTTCTTTGGTGACTTTGGTTTATTTATCTGCAGACCATGTCCTATTAGGTTGCTGTAAACTTTCTAGTTCTACCATCTAGCTGCACATTCATTTTATTTCAGCACCCTAGAGCAGTTTTATTTGGTGCAGTTGATACAGTGCTGGACTAGATTTCTTATATTTGGTTCAAGCTGAAATACGATAGTCAGTAAAAGCAGCAACACTTATTTTAGAGTCTATAATCTCTTTAGCTGGGATGTTGTGAGTTGTGACCATTCCAATTTGAACAATCAAGTATGTCTTATATGTGCATTAATACCCCTTGGATTATGCAGATCAATGACCATCAATCAGAAAAAGACACAGTAAAGCAAGTGCAGGGGTAAGTTCATGTGTTATGCATTCGATAGGTTTGTTGGGATGTTTGATGTTTCTTTCTGCAAGTTGCTCTGCCAGCTTGCCAATTTGAAAAAATTATATTTATTGTTCAACCTCAAAGGCACTGTAAAAAAGTTGAACTTTAGGTGTGATCAACAGTCTGTAAAGACATCAGAGTTCACCCGCCCCCAGCAGTAGATTCATTAGCCTCATAAGAGGTGATGTACCAAGTTATATGCTTTGTGATTTAGGCAAATGTTTCTCAATGCTATTTATGAACCTTCAGAGTCACTCAATTCTTGAGGGTCCTGTCTAATCATGGACCGACTGGACTAAAGCTTGAGTTTGACTAGTACACAGTGAATAGCAAATTCCAGTCAATGGAAGGAGTACTGTAAAACATGTAATTGTTACCCGCTTGAGATGGGATGAGGAACAGAGTCCTGCATTGTCCTTGAGGGTTGACAGTGCTGTAAAATTGTGAAGGGGATATTTTTATTAACTCACATCTAATATTTGCATGTAATTATATTTCTTCAAAACTGCATGTTGTGCTTGTAGTTGGCATGATCATAAAGGTGGATTGGTTGATGGGAATGAAACTGGGAACTTGAAATAAAATTTTGCTAAAGAATTGTATATAGTTTTGGTGTTTCGATAGAGAGACTAATAGTGCGTTCGTTTCTTGATTTTTATATTATTGTAATGTAATGTGGCTATTACCATAATATTTACAGGATAACAGCAAGCCAAAGTAGAAGATTTGTGGTTGGTAATATACATGTGCTTTTCAATCCAAACCGTGGAGATATCAAGTTAGGCCAGGTACATACTCGGTTTAGAAAACATTCTTCTCGTCTGTCTGCATCAGTATTCTTGAACATTCTGGTGCCAGATGTCATTGTGGGCAAATCTCACAAGTTTGTTTGCCTGCCGTGAGAGAGATACAATTTGGAACAAGTCTTCTTTCCTTTTCTGGTTGTTTCCATGGTACGTATAATTTTCTTCTCGACCTGCAAAAACTTCATCTGTGTATCTTACATGGAAATGCTAGGTTCGACTACTTCTACAGAAGGCTCATAAGTTATCACAAGAATGGGGCAGCATTCCTGTTATAATTGGAGGGGATCTGAATAGCATTCCAGAGGTTAGCATTTGCCTCAATTGTATAAAGTTGATAGTTGTAAATTGTAATTGCAGTTTTGTTGGATCTGATAACATTGACTTCTGTTTTTCACTCATTTTGCAGAGTGCCATGTATCAGTTTCTCTCCTCATCTGAGGTGAGTTTCAGTAATGCACAAGCACAACCCTCACCTAGAATTTCAGTGTTTTGACTTCTTTTCTTCTTCAATGGCCCCTGCCATCGTTCATTCTTTAAGTTAATTCTCCTTAAATCGTCTGGCAGTTGGATATCCTGCTGCACGACCGCAGAAAGATTTCTGGACAGCTTAAACGATCAGCACAGCAGAAACACATCAGGTTCCCGATTGAGCATTCGAGGTTGAAGACTTCAGAAAATTTCTTCCTCTTTCTGTTATATGGTTCCTAGTTATCAGGAATAGAATACTCAATAATGATTGTTATAGGTCTGATAGGGGTTCTAACCAGTTGCGAATTAACAATAAGATTTTGAGTTCATTGTTTATTATTAGTACTACTATTTTTTGTGGTGCTCCAAATCAAGGGTGTGCCATTGCACCCCCTAATAAGGGGCTAGCTCCGCCCCTGGTTCTAACTCCATTTACTGATAAAATTTACACCTTTGTATAGCTGGAGTGAGGAAGAACTAAAGCTAGCTACTGGCAGAAAAGGAGCGGCTCATCTTCAGCATCAGTTGAAGCTTTCTAGTGCATATGCCAGGGTTCCTGTAAATTTTTGTTCTCTCCATGGATTTTATGTCCACTCTATTTCTCTAGATCAAAACTTGCTGATGAAGAGACGGAACAAATTACTCAATAACATGACCTCAGGGAATCTAGGATGAATGTTTGAGATGGACAGGTTTTTAACTTTTGCAAAGACTAGATTTAAGCTAGTCATTTTAGACAGGAAGATACAAAAACCGAAAGGTGGTTGTACTCTTGATCTCAATTCCAAAATTCGAGTTTAAGGTCATGTGTTCCCTTTTTAAGTGTGATTTACTGATTACTCTCTCTGGTAAATTTGTTCAAATTCTTCAGGGGAGCAGCAGGTCAAGAGGCCCTTGTGGAGAACCATTGGCAACCTCCTACCACTCAAAGTTTATGGGAACGGTTGATTATATCTGGTAGGCTATCCTTATACTAACATGGTCATGCGTACTTTCCCCTGAATATTAGCACTAACACTCAACATATGCAGGCATACGAAAGAACTTGTACCACTTAGGGTTCTTGAAACCTTGCCCCTTGATGATTTAAGGAGAAACGCTGGTCTTCCTAGCGAGGTTAAAAAATTCTCTTCTTGCTTGCCTGGTTTGATATTTCTCAAGTTCTCGAGTATTGTGTGATCGCCCACGAGGGTAGCAGCAGCCCATTTTTTGCCGCGTTTTTATCAACACTAGTTTTCCCCAGTGCTCAAGGAAAAACTATATCGACATATGTGGCTATTTATTATTGTCTGTAAATAACATAAAGATTGTTTTAATCACGCTTTGAGCAAGATGGCCAGTATCATTGGTCCCTTTCATATACACTTAAACAATGTCTGTATCATCTTGCAGAGATACGGAAGCGACCATCTTGCTCTTGTGTGCGAGTTGGCATTTCTAGATGATAATGATGATGATGATTACTGAATTCTTTCGTGGATGCAAAGCTGCAAGCGAGTTCTCGAGGGTATACACAGAGCTAGCTAAGTGGAAGGAAGGGAACGGTCCGGGATTCGTTTCAAGAGGGAACTCAATTGTTCCCAAGTTTCCTGAAATAGAACCTGGTCATAAAATACTAGCTTGGTGACGAATGAATTGTGACCAGCTCTATTGTTCCCGGAGAAGGGTCGTGTGTGCAATCATGGAAGTGACGACGACGTCTAAGGGTCCATGTTGGAAGATGGCCACCTGTCTTCAAAGTAGCATTTCCCGTTCGGCCTTCCTTCTACGTCTTCCACCACACTCGAACTGATGATGCTCCACGGTCCGCACCACCATGTAATACAATGTGCCCTTTCTTAGCATTACTATTTTGCCCGCGCTTTGCGACGGTTGAAAACAAATTATATTTAAAAACTCTCTCTCGTTTTTATGTGAAATCGAATAATCAACAAATGTTTGGATATGATACTCTCATAAATTATACATAAGAAACAAGTATTCCTTCATAAATTTTTAGTAGTGTTCTAATCATTATGAAAATTTACATAATATGTATAATCACTGGCGGATCCAAATTTTTTGTTATAGAGGTGTCATCTTTTAAAAAATAAATAATTCATAATTAAATTAGATAATTCATAAATAAGAAAATACATGCTCATATCATTGGTGGACTCCAATTGCGTTGTGTCTTTGTATCAATCAAGCATCCATCTTGATTGTGGTCAACCTTCTACCCTTATATTGATAGAGCCTCCTCGCAGGTGTGATATTGCACTTTAATTCCACCTTATCCCTAGTTTTATTCAAGTTCTTAGCTGCGTGACTTTGATGACTACGTCTAGGGGTACTGGTTCCGTGCTCATATCATATATGTAGTTAATTCATTTGGTTGTTTATGAATTTTAGACAGTTGCTCAACGATTATAATTCTTTCGCTCATAATAATGTAAAGAAATTAACTTTATATATACTAAAAAAAAAATAGATCATACCAAAATAGACTAAATGCAATGATGATCTGGTCGTTGGTCCTGATAAATTTTTTTTTACTATTGGATTGTGGTTCTAATGAGCTTGGTCGGTTTCAGTCCGACAGACCGTTGCACACCCCTATAATTGTTATAATCACTCAAAATAAAATATACTATCACAGATAGAAGGTTATTATTATTTCAAATTAAAAATAATTATAGTGTCACTTTAACATCATATGAAATTAGGTATTTCAAATAGTTTTAAAATATTAATATAAACTTTGTGATACGATATATTCAAAAGACGTTCGATCCAACGAGTCAAAAACCAAATTAAGTACTAGTAGGAGAGAGAGATCAAAGATGTCGTCTCACCTTTTATCTTCCTAGCAAGGTTGTCAACCCGCGGACTAACCCAAATCTGGTCAAGCTAGTCGGTCAAGGGTTAATTGGTCACCCGTTTTAGCCCGAAAATATGAAAAGAGTCATTATATTGTACTTATCTTGATAAATTATATAAAATCTCATCTAACATATGAGTTATAACATATAATATTCCACCAAAATAACATGTCGTACTTAGATATAACATATAGTGAAATTCACACACTTATATAACATCAATATTCAAATGTTCAACTTAGGATTCCAAAGATTGAGTTAAGCGAAAAGAAAAATCGGAAAATAGGCGCATTTCGCAAATCAAAGAAAAAAATAACACAATTTGACTTTCAACCCGATACCTTGTAACGATCGATCCGACAAGTGCATGCGGCTCTTTTTTTTCACCGGATCAAAGTCAAAGCGAGTCAACTCGAGTGGACAACCTTGCTTCCTAGGTTCCTCCAACAGAACCAAACAACAAACAAATGACTGACGTGCACAAGATCAAACGAGACATTTGGACTTTGCACTTGCGCAGGACCTTGTCTTACTTCTCTCTCTCTCTCTCTCTCTCAATATTCAGTCATCTGCTTCCATTAAATTGTGGAAAACTGCACCAAACAAAGATTCATTGCATCTCACTACCAATTTGTATTTTGTAATGCTCACTACACTAGTCGTCTACAATAATAGAGGAATATGGTCATGTCAGCGCACTTTCTTATTACCACCCAACTTTTCTTTCTTCGTGGACAACGACTTTTCATGAGGAGAGTGATACGAGTCAACTGCACACTCCTCCCAACAGATAACAACAGGCAGGCATGCAATCAATCAATTGATACTCTCTCTGTTGACCAAGGAAACCTTCTGCTTCTGATAACAACAAATGACAACAACTGGTCTGGTCTTTTTCCACATTCAAACCAACCAGGCATTGCTGCAGGCTGCAGCAGCAGAAAGTTGCATACAATACATTCCAATCCACAACCACATCAGCAGATAAAGAAAACAAAATCCGAAACCAACTCTGTTGATTCTTTGATTCCATCCCATGGCCAAGGCTTACAAAGAACGCTCCCCAAAAGAAAAACACACCATTTTGCCACCATCTCTATGATTTTAACTCAAAAATTGTAACATAAACAAGGCCTAACTACAAAATTGAAGCTCAAAAATTGAGAGCCTGCTGAACAATATCAATACCCTCTAGCTCAATGTTTGGAAGATCCATTAATCCTCCTCCTAAACCATCTAATATTGGAAGGAATTTCAACTCCTCATCATCACCTGGGAACACAAACTCCCCTACTCCTACTATATCATCAAACATCATCCCAAAATTGCTCCCAAACTCATAGCAGCAGTAATCATACCCTTCACTCCCCATCACAATCTCCTCGTCACTAGTCGGCGGCATCATCTCATCAATTGGTCGCATTTCGTCATCCTCGTAACTCAAACAACAATCGTCATTGTCATTATCCTCGTACTCCTCTTCATAATCATCATCGTCATAATCATCCTCATCGTCGACATCCATCGGTCTCGTGATATATGTCTCTGGTTCGATCATGAGCACCTCATTCTCAGACTCCACTTGCTTCCAGGGCAATCCCACATCCACCACCACCACGTTACCATCACTATTATTATTAACAACATTGTCGTTACTGGTGGCCGCATCGAGCACTGACGATGGAGATGGGTGAGAGAACGAACCGCCATTCGATTCCTCAGACACAGCCCCTTCTTCCTCGTGGGTGGCAGTGGTCTTGGATTTCATCTCCAGCGCTTGATCGAACTCGGTTTTTTTCCTCTGGTAAGCAGCAGCTGCCTCTTCTGCCGTGCTGTAAGTTCCTAGCCACACCCTCGCCTTTCGGAACGGATCCCTGATCTCGGCCGAATACTTCCCCCAAGGCCTCCGCCGGACACCTTTGTATGTACTGCTGGTGTTGTTGGTGGACAGTGCACGCTTCTTGACTCCGCCGTGGATTCTGGACTTGCATCTCTCCTCCTCCGTCTCTTCACATGCTGCTGCTGCCGTGGCCGATGATGAAGGGAAGGAAATCTCTGCAACGAACTGCTTGACGCCATTGCCACTGCCACTGCCACAAGAACGAAGCAGAGTGAATTCGCCTTCATGATGATCTTCTTCTTCGTCGCTGGAACAGTCGGTGGCGTCTGGATCGCTGTATATGAGTCGAAGCTTCTTCATTGCTGCTGCCTTGCTCTGTTTCTGTACTTGATCGATCATAACTACCAGGCTTGGAGTTTCAAGGCCTGGCATTGCTTGCTTTTTTTTTAATTTTGTTTTTCCTTTCTTTTGTAAAGGAGGGAGGATGGTTGTTGTGTTTTTTCTTTTGGGATCAGAAAAATTGAATTCAAAATGGAGACAAACTCCTCAAAATCATCCATTCACTAGAAACACAACCCATCGGATCACTCTCCCTCTCTCTCTCTAAAAACTTGAGTATCAAGCAAAAGATTACCCAAAACCCAGAACCGAAACCTCCCTAAAACCCCGAATGATTTGATTTTCCCTTGGGGAACAATCAATTCAAAAATAAAATTAAAAAACCTGTACCAGGAAGCAGCAAAAAGAAGGGGAAAAACAGGATCAAAATCTGCTGCACACTTCCAACCGAAAAGAGAGAGAGAGAGAGAGAGAGAGAGAGAGAGTAACGTCTCAAAAGAAAAACAGGGGGAAGAGAGGGAGGCTAGGTACCTTAATGAAGCCAATCGCGTAGAAATAGTCAGTTTCCCGATCGAATCCGGGATAGAAGAGGAAGCAGAGAGCGAGGAGGAGAGAGGAGAGAGGAGAGAGAGTGAGTCGTGGTTGGGGAGCTCCAGCGGTCAAGACATGAGACCCAGACGACGGCATAAATCCTCGTCCGATCCTCTGTTTCTTCTGCAAAAAAGGAAGAAAAAATTAACAAAAGTTTCCTCATTTGTGATGGAAGCTAGAAGGGGAAACAGAGTAAAGAGCTAGCGGTGTGTGCGTGAAAGAAAGATTTTGTTGCCCCGAAAAAAGTAGCGCAGAGAACGCCAAAAGGAGAAAGGGGAAAACCCATCTCCATAGCTGCTTCAGCTGCTCGTTGTGTTTGGTTAATGGAGAGGAGAGGAAGATTATGAAAACGATGTCGGATTAGCGTTTAGAATAGAAGACGGAATCAATCAATTTCAACTTAATACACACACTAAACGGGAGAAATTATGATCGTGGTTATTACTTCAAAATAGTTTGGGTTTCTCTAATTGACTGACTTACCCTTTCTGGAGCTCCTCCCTTCCTTCCCCTTCTGCTCTAACAAGGAAACAAGTAACTCTCTCACTCTCTCTGTCCTGTCTTCTTCTTCTGTTCTGTGCTTCCTTTTCCGCTTTTTTTCGCCATTTTGCTCTTTTATTTATTTTTGTTTTTAGCTTGTATTTATTCTATCATGCAATTTCATCCCCTTTCTTTTAAAACACATCCCATATAATATAATACAAAACCAAGAGTTCAGTTTTTTTTTTCTTCGATGAAAATAGAAAATTAAGGGTTCAAAAGTCAGACCAGAGATTAAAAAAATACAGAAACATTAGAATAATAAACAAATATAATATGTCAATGTTGAAAACAGTTTTTCAGCATTTCAAATGTCCTACAACGAGAGCGAAAGTAAGAATGATAGATTTGTTTTTATATTAATTAATTTATTATTCACATATATCAAAATTTGAACCATGATCCATTCAGACAAAAACAAAAATCATTATCAATTACATTTAAAAAAAGTTGTTAGTATCTTTCTAAATTAAAAACAAATTTATTTTTCACTATGGTTAGCGAATTTGTTTTCCACTTCGATTTTCCACTTTTTCTTTTCTTTGGTTTGGTTTGTGACTACTGGGCCGAGAGCAGAGTCCGCCCATCCAACCCACTTCGCATGCTGCGGGCGTGTTCCAGAAGTCGTGGGCAGCAATGAATTATTGTCCTTGTTGGGGTTGTTTACCATACACGAATTGTAATCAAGCCCTAGTTGATAATCATGTGGAAGGGCATATACATATGCATGTA